TCAGCTGTTTTCAGTCTATCAGTCAGATATTTTCAGTCCATCAGTTAGCTGTTTTCAGTCTATCAGTCAGCTGTTTTCAGTCTATCAGTCAGCTGTTTTCAGTCTATCAGTCAGCTGTTTTCAGTCCATCAGTCAGCTGTTTTCAGTCCATCAGTCAGCTGTTTTCAGTCCATCAGTCAGCTGTTTTCAGTCCATCAGTCAGCTGTTTTCAGTCCATCAGTCAGCTGTTTTCAGTCCATCAGTCAGCTGTTTTCAGTCCATCAGTAACGCTGACATGGACACAAGAATCTTCCCTTTCAATATTATTTATTTTGCTAACTTCAAATTTTTGCTAAAATCTTCTTCTGATCGCTTTGTTTTGTTTTGCGTAATTTTGATCTTTGCATTTTCCTTTAAAGTAAAAGTAATATTTTTTATGCCCATATTATGCAACAGGCACAATATTATTCTTTTGTTTTATGTGCGTGTGGAAAGTGGAGAACTTAACAACAGTTTGTAACTGGCCAGATTAAGCCTTTTCCGTTTCGTATTTACTAAATGTTGCTTGTCATGTTTTATGTGCGTACAGGCTAGCGAGGTGGAGGGGGAAGATCATGGTGTCTTGCGCATGCGTCCTAAGACCCTTTTGTGTATTCTTGTGCTCTGTTCATGTAATTTTTTTCCAGACAAGTCTTTTCGGGTCTTCATAGGGAAGGCATTGCCGACTAGGTTAGATTTACGGAAAATTACGTATTTCTTAGTAGAAATGTGCTCATGTGTGGAATATGTTTGTTATGTCTTTAAATGGCACTGCAGTGTTCAATCTGATTAGAGTCAGTGTGGTTTTTGGGGCAGTGTCATCACGAAACCAGCTGTGGGAAGTTGATTTTCTCAGACCAAAGGTAAAATCATTGTCCATTCTCTCGTTGAGAAGACTGGATGCATTCTCAGTTGTTTTTTTCTTTAGAACTGGCAAGATTATATATTAGAATATCGATCAAAAAATGAAAAAAAAAGTCTGAGTAGCTGAAGACCTCTACTTTTTAATATCTGCAACAAGTCTCAGTAAGCCCAATAGGTCTACTTTAGTGGACAGACATAATTATTTATGATTAAAATATTACTTCTAAGGATTATGTCCCTCAAAAAGAGTTGCTTAATTTTTAATGTTTACACTGTACGTAGTTTCATGATCTTGTGTTCAATAGACGAAATCACCGCCACAATTACGCACGTCCACCATATTGTCTGTTATTGATTATAGAAAATTAGAAGGTACGAGGTTGGAATGACCTCCAATGGCACAATATTTATACAAAATTTCATGAAAATCGGTCAAGTGTTTCCGAAACTGAAATGGAGGAAACAGAGACGCGGGAACTTTATCACTTTATTTCAATAAGAATATTATCTCTCAGCAAACTTCATGCTTGAAGGCCACGGATGGACTTAACCGCGCGGCTCTAGGATAACAGAACAGAATTCAGTCTTCACTCGCCTGGGCTCTGCTGTTTGTGTTGCAACGCTGTACGATTTTGCTGTGACCTTGAAGCATGCGATTTGGTGACGATCACTATAGTACATGGAAAGAGAGGCGGACTTACCCTTTTCCTGTGTCATAACCGAACTTGTAGGAGTGGGGGCCTTGTTGCCCGTGCATCTGGAACTCAACTCTGTCCCCTCCGCCACCACCATCAGCATATCCACCGACGCCAGCAGTAATACCAGAGAATCCAGTCTCTGATGTGATCTGACGACGATGCCAAAATGACATGTTAACAAGCGTATTTTATAGACAGTAATTTCAGCAGTTATCACAAATTCCAATTTTATGCAAATTAGCACGTGACTGTTAACTTAATTCTAAATCTGGCGTGAATTTGTGTTCGTTTATTCTGTATTAAGCTGAATCTAAAATCAGAAGCGCAGTAATTAGTACTGTCAACAGAGAATACATTAATGATGGATTATTATTTCGTAGAATTATATGAGCAGTCTCTCGTACTTCTGAGTCCCGAGTTAAAGTAGGTAAATTTTGATCACTGACTGACTACGGTGATTTCAACATTATTTTATAAAAAAACTTTCACTTAAAACTGTTATTGATCAGAACCATTTCTCTCTCGAAGTATCGAATTTGAGTCACTTTTTTTTGCTATTTCACAAAAAGACTGAAATTTTCTTCTGACTTCATTTCTTAACTCCGATAGGACCCAGAATAGTCCGTCGCATATTTTTTTATGAAAAGATGCATTTCTATTCCCAAAACGTTTGTTCGAAACTCCATTCAGCTTATCAGAATGATGGATTACGCTAATTAATTTTATTGCGAACTATTTATATGTACAGGGTGAGTCACAATTAGGTCGCAATTTTAAAAAAAAAATCATTATTTTGAAACGAAATCAGCACATGATATTGGCGCAAACTTGTTTTTAAAATTTATTTTTTTTGTTAATTTTTAATTAATTAACTAGTTAATTTTAGGGTTTTGATTCTTTTTTAAAATTGGGACCTAATTGTGACTCGCTCTCTAGAAGCACGTATCCATTTGACAATGCTAATCATACGTACTATATTCATTGAACGTAACAAAAAGTTCTAACCACTGTAACCTCCACCGTGCACTGAAAATAAGTCGCCATGATTATTTACCAGGGTATGGGTTAGGATATTTTGCTGTAGGCATGAAAGTGCGCTTATATTAAGTGTGGTTCAATCGATACTAAGCATACTAGCGTGTATTTGGTAAGCATGTGGCTAAGAATTCTGGCAAAAGGGTACCAAGTTTTGAGTCTACCTGCTCGTCTATTCCCGGAACCTTTCGTTTTGCTTGTGTTGGGAAAAAGGCCACGTCGGCCTTCTGAAAACTGCTGGCTGCTTGTAATGCAGCAGGTATCTTCTGAGGCTCTCGTACTAATGCCCAGTCCTTCTTCGGCTGTTTAGAATCGCTGTCAAGGTTATTTAATTTGCCAAAGTCGGTCTTAGGACTGTTCTTTTTGGCAGTGGGCTTCGACTTATCTTTCTCTGGTCGCCATTTCTTTGGATATAAATGATTTGAAGCCTTCGTAATTTTCACAGGACTTTGTTTAGACGCTTCAATGTCGTCTTGTTCTTTTTGAGTCGAGTATTTTTCAGGGTATTTATAGGATGCGGTCGGAGTTCCCAGGTCCTGCGATGGTGGAACTCCTGATAAATATGGTACAGTAGGTTTATATTCAGACGCTGCTGGTGGGCTTGTGAGTGCCTGTGAAGGTGTCAAAGGTACAAACCCGCCAAATAGTTTATACTTCTTTTCTCCAACGACGTTTATAGGGATCTGTGAGATGACGGCTGGGGTCTGATAATTCTCGTTTGTCTTATCCTGTTCTGTTAATGGCCCATACAGGATAGGAGGTTTTGTATCTGGAGCTTTTAGTACCTGTTCTGGTATTGGAGGATGATATTTAAGAACAGGGGAGGCTTCGGCGCTTGCAGGAGGCTCCAGACTCGGCGAAATATCTGGCTTGTGGTTTGTTTGTAGTTGTTCCTTGGGATACTTCGTTGCCGATGATGAAGGTACAGTTTTCACCTGAATATCACCGATATTGGAAGGCCGACGGAATAAGGAGTCTACGGCCGATGTAGTTTGAGGAACTACAGCGGCTTTGTCACTACCAGGACCATTCTTTGACTGATGGTCGAAGTAACTTCGTAGATTTGAGAACGGGAAGATCTGTGGTGCTCCAAGTGACGCGGTAATCAAACACGTCGTCAGAACGACCTGTTGGGTGAGAGAAACATTACAGCTATGGTCAGAATTATTTATTATTACACATTTTGGTTTACTTACAGAAGAAAACTGTTAAAAACATGTGGTAAGAATATGGAAATGTCGTATCCAGTGAGCAATAAATAACATAATATTGTGCTCTGTTGGTAGGCCTGAGGATAAAGTTGACCAGTCCATTCATTGAGCGAGTTTAAGATGTATTTTAAATTTCCTCAACCGCCCCAATACGCCTATGAGCCTCTGCAATGATTATGTCTGCAGATAACTCAATTTATTTTGCTTTTTCACAATTCGATTTACTAGCGGCTGTGCCGTAACTCAGGCGGTTGACGCCACCGAGCATCCCCGGGTCCGTTCCCAGGTCAATTCACGTTGGATTTATTTACAGATATATTTTTTGTTAAAGTCCTTTGTTTACCAAATGCCAGTATTATTCAACCGCTGCTCCGAAAATACATTTTATCACGCGAATAAAACAATAATTATAATATAAAGGTTAATCAACCCTTGAGCTTAATTAAGGACCACGCTGTAGATGCGTTTGAGCAATTGAAGTGTAGCCCAGTTGTTTTAATTTAAATATTTCTGCTTAATTTTGTATATAGCCACGGTGATCTAGCGGTTAGAACGCTGGCCTTGTAATCCTGGGGTCTCGGGTTCGATTCCCGGCGGTGCCCGAATTTATAACTTGTGTTGGGCAAGGCCGTGGTCTAGGCAACACGGAATTTTCCTCCGTTCATATGGACCTGTCGTCAGACAGAACACTAAATAAAAAAAAAATTGTATAATCATTTCTTTATTCAGAGCCTCGCGTCACAACCGCTGAGAACCATCGCCTTATACAGTAATCGCTTATGTAAACGCCAAATAAATAGACGAATAAGAAATTGAGAAATATAAACCGAATTAGAATTGGATGTGGTATGATTAACATAACAAAATCCGAATTACGATTTCTCTAATTGCAGAATAGTTTCAGTGAAATATTATCTGCAACTAACAGGTATTTCACTGCACAATTAACGTGATCCCATTAATTTCGTCACCAAATCGATACAGTTCACCTAATCTTACGTTATTTTAATAGATTTTTAGAATCGAACTCTTACATTGAAGAAATCTTCAAATTTAACACGTTTCTGCTAGTCATTATAACCAATGAGTGAAGCTAATTCCTGAGGATAAATGATCTGGAACGAATTACATCTGAGTTTAATACCGTGTCCACTCAACGATTTACCGTCTCAGCCTTAAAGAAATCATATTAAGTTTACCTGCCTTTCTTAACGTACCGCAGAGTTATACAGGGTGAGGCATTTAAGTCAGCTAGTCTGATAATATAAGGATACGCCTCTAATCGATACGAAGTGACAAACGATTATATAATCATGGAAGGCGTAGTTTTAGCTTGCAGTGGTTTTCGTGTCAGAGGCTCGTCGCCATTTTGAAATCTCGTGTTTTTTATTATGTGACATGAAATTGTAGATTACAGAACTTGAGATACGTAAACAGGCAGAAAATTGTAATGATTCAACCGGGATGTGAACCCACGTCGAAGACTTCTACATCCAATCACCAAAGTAGACAGACGAATTGATGTAAACTACTGATATTTTTAAATGTCCGTCTGTAAATTAATACCAAACATCGATCGAAGTAGCTAAGGGCCTTGAGCTATTTAAACTCTGAGATCACGTGATGTTCATTTCGTCTGTGTTGTGTTCTGTTCAGAATGTTGGACGGATCGTACATTAAATCGGGTACACGTAATGACCGGAGGATTTTCAATTTCATAGTTAATTCTGAATTAGAACAGACCTCAGTGTTTTGTTGGAGGAATGTTGATTTATTGTTCTTATGGAGCGATACTTGACTCGTATCGGGACAAAACCTGGCGATGAGCCATGCAGTTCCAGCTGGGAAGTGACAGTTGCGTTTTAAGTTTATTATTGAACACTCTGTAGAATATTTGCTAGAGATTGTTCAATGTCGTGTTACGAACAAATGGGCATGTTCCATCCGCGATTGGCTTTTTTAAACAGGAACGACCAAAATGTATCGATACATGAGCATATTTATCAATACATGGGCAAATGTATCGATACATGGGCATATGTATCGATACATGGGCAAATGTATCGATACATGGGCATATGTATCGATACATGGGCATATGTCTGATTTGCTAGTGTCATTCGATATTTCTGTGTGCGCACGAATAGGACGTGAAATGAAGCAAAAACAGAAAAGCGACCAGAAAGAACAATTATTGGATCGAATCTCAGAAAAAGTTAATGAAGTTGTGTTCTTGGTCAGTGGCCGTATTAGTCGTAGTTAGGTTAGGTTCGTTCCGGTGATCAGCTTCTGTGCTGTGTTGTGGAGAAAGCGCTGTACGTCTTTTTCCATTCCATGAGAAAGAAACAGAACCGACCGGTGACATTACACGGTCGAAACAAAATGGACGCTTAGGTCTGAGCAAAAACGTGGTGTCGAGTCCCGAGTTCCAAGACCCACCGCTTTCCCTGCACTACATATATACGGAAAGAGAGTTAGGAATTTCCGTAGGAAATAAAAACTACAAGACAAAAGAATATTACATTCACTTTTGTAATCAATTTAGCCCAATACCCGTTTTTCGCCTGGGTTTATAAATATACTGAAATTATGAAACGTCTTATTTATGATAGAAAATAAAAAAATGTTTTACGTAATAATGTCTGTAACTACGTGTAATAATGAAATTCATAAACAGTGAATAATGACAGGACATTTTAATCTCTTAGGTGACACGTAGAAGTTAGTACGCTGTAAAAACCGCTTAGACATTTTTACTTGTCATCAAATTCAGGTTGTGAAAAATAAATTATGTCATAGGGTAACGATTTTCTGTAAACGTTCGTGATAAAATTCTGGCATTCGACTGAGGAAAACCTCGAGAAACTTCAGTAAGGAAAGTCCGAAGCTCCATTTATTTTATGGTTTCATATATTGACAGCGACGTTATATTATTTAATTTAATTCGGTAATAATAATAGGCTAATGGAATACAATCAACAAATCTTAACTCTTATAAAATATCCTTTTGTTGTGCATCAGATTCTAATAAAACACTGAATGAAAATACTGTATTATGGATTCTTATAGGACTACATTTATTATTTGATTTTTTTACTAATTTGTATTCCACAAAATGTATTTTCACGCTGATAAAATCAAGGAATAGGAGATTGGGACGGCGAATGGGAGAACAGAGAAATTAATGCAGGAATTTAATGGGTAGAACCGTAGATATCGCCTTCGAGACCTAGGCGTAGATGGTAAGATAATATTAAAATTGTTCGTAGTGGAATATAAATTGAGGGAGTGGATAGGATTCGTCTTGCTCAGGATACGAACTCGTGACATAATTTTATGAATACGACAAAGAATATTTCCTTTCCGAGGAATTTTTAACCTCTATAGTGACCGTTAGCTTCTCTGGTATATGCAATTAGTTACGTAGACATTTATGTATTAATACTATATTTAATTCCTCGGTCAGTAAGTGTCTATGGGCTTAGTGACCTTGGTTCAACTACCGACAGGTTCAGAGGTATTTCTACTAGTGCTTATTTCGCTGTCGTAAATTCGGGAGTTCTAGGAAGCCTGGAGCTCGGTGTACGTACCATGGTACAGACACAACTTCACCTTCGTTCATAGCTTGCATGTACGCAAATAGGTGATTAAAACACGAGGCATTGCCCAGAGCGATTGTGAAGGACACTTCCGGTTGAACCAAAGTTGTGACACCGGCTATTCTGAGATTTGCATACAGCCAAAAACCCGGAGGATAATTTATAACGATGTAATCCGTACTTACTGGAAGCTTGAACGGTTTAAACTACACCCTTACATAACCTACGAATGAATCAGTTCTTAGAATATCGATGAATTAGAACGTATTTTATAGGAGTTTTATTTTGTATAATGAATATCTTTATTTAGTGAGAAATATTGAGCATATTTTGGGAAACATTGCTTCGAATGTGTTTTAATAATTCACGATTAAATTATTGACTATATTTTAACAGGATCTTCGTGTTTTAAGCCCACAGACTATTAATGTTTTATGCAGAGGTTTGTAGCAAACACTCGCTCACAGACTATTAATATTTTATGCAGAGGTTTGTAGCAAACACTTGTCGGTAAATACGCTTTGCAATCACAGTGACTACGCAAGGCCACGACTTATTCCTGGTATTTGGTTTGCGGTAGGGACGTATGGACGTGTTTCACCGCGTTCTTCATTTCCACTAACGAGGTTGTAGAAAGCAGCCTACTTTGCAAATAATCTATACTCTTATTCTTCATCCATCATTGGTTTACCCACGAGGTAAAGCGATGTTGCTGGTTTAACAGCTGGTCTGGAAGAGGATTCCACCTCTATTGTCCAAGTCAAGAATGAGTAGAGTTGTATCTACATTAAAACATACGTCTCCATGGCGTGGCGCGTAATAATAAGTTCGAAAATAAACATTTTATATCCATTTCATGGTCACAACAGAGTATAAGAACCAAAGAATCACAGACCGCTTGTGAACCAAATACATGGGGCGAAGTCCCTCTTGAGAGATGGTATTTTTTTAGCTTCAAGACAACCATCTTCAGAGTCACCGCCTTGAAAACTCAAATCCTACAATTGTAACTTTTGTCGTAATTTGTGAAAATAAGAGATGAATCTTTAATGTATTATGAATAGCCTCGTACTGTAAAAAGCGAGCTTGCCTCGCAGCTAAACGGATTCTTTTACATAACCTCATAGAACGGAATATGAACGTGGGATGTGTTCCTGTTCCGGTTTCAGTGGCGGGCTCTTGTGAGCACTGAAATGAACTATAAGCTTATATAAAAGAAGATCCCTGCTCCGTAGATTTAGTTAGAATGTTTGATGTTGTCGGTGATAATTCTCACTTGACTGTGGCTATTGAAAGAAATTGGATATTTTGAAGCCTAATAAATTATCAAATTACGTCCCCCCCTTCTTCAGGGCGATATTGTCACCGTCTTTTAAAATCGGAAATAAGTAGAAAGTTAAAGAATAAGTAAAATCTGTCCATTCCGCGCCAGTAAGTTTTAAGGTCGTTGGTACTCTTGTGTTCCTTCAGGTTTCGCCACGTGACGGGCGATAACCTTCAGAGACGTAAAAAACAGATGAAATTAAAATTATATGATTAAAATTTATAATTTGGAAACGCAATTTAAAATATTAAATAATGTTCCGATAAGTTATATACACATTATAGTACGGAATATTAAACTTTTGTGTAAACGTATTTTAAGGACTTATGGTATATTGGTTTCTATTTTTAACTATACATTTTATAGTCACGAATGCTCCTGCAAATATTTTGTACAGTTCCTTAGTAAAGCCATTTGTATATAGCTTGTGACATTCTTAAGCACTTCAACATTTATTAAGCTTATCAAGAAGTTCTGTGATTTTTCGAGGAAACTGAAATTTCGTCAACATTTTAAAAAAAAATCTGAATTGGATCTCATGTCACAGCCCAGTCTAGTCCAGAGCCTCACATTGCCTCTGGGATACATTTTAATATTATTCTTCCGTTTTCCTATGTCTTCCAAGTGATCACCTCCCTTGAGGCTTTCTGACCAAAATTCTCTCTTCATTTCGAAGGTGAAGTATTTTATAGCCTACAACCAGGTGGACCTTAACACCCAGGTCTTTCTCCAGGGTGCTTACTCCGTAGGGCCTTGCCCCCTCCAGGGGCAGAGCCACAATCCTGGTCTTTTTACCCGGCATTCTTGTCCCCTGTGGCCTATCGTGGCCGTTTCTCCCTTGATTTGTTCGCCGATACTGGTCACCCCTGTGATTTCACCATTTTGGTTGCACGATGTGAACCGAGGTCATTGTCGTACTTGAGGTTTTACGGTGGTGAGTTCGAGACTTCACGGCGCCACAAACGGAAGACGTTATAGTCCTTGAAATTTCTGTGTACTTCAAGAATTCTTCTCTACGTCAGGGAAGCCTGAGTCTTTTTCGGCGAGAGGTTGCATGGACTGACGAAATTCCCTGACAACGCAGTCCAGAGTAAGGAGACTGTTGACAAGGAACTGCAAATCTGCGTGACGAACTACTGTGTTTCGTATAGTCTATTTTAGAAGATAACTTTCCTCTATTTTAATTAATCTCTCGTAAATAATAATATTGACACAAACAATGTTTACATAGTACAGAAAGGGCATTAGGATCAGAAGATAAAGTTATGTTGAATTTATTTCGAATACTTTGTACCTAACAATATGAGGTCAGTAATGTATTTTCAGTTCCATTTTTGTCTGTGGCTTAAGGTTTAGATGGCACATGGATCTGTTACGGACAATGAAGAAAACCGAATCCATGCTAATTTATTTGGGTTAATCTCCCGAGAAATATGTAATTTTGCTTTTATATTTTTCGGCACATCACCGAAATTGTATTTTGATGATCAGTGCTGAGACGTCTCATATGCCACGATTCTAACTTATATAATTTTACTGATAATAGTAATTTTCATTCGTTAATGTACTTTAAAACTAGGACAAATTAGATTAATTTTAATCCTCTGGTCTGGAATCCGTGAATCGACAATTTACAAATGGACGTTGACTCAAACCTTGCGAAATATTTGGGAACAATTGATCCTATAATCGATTTTTTTTGCCATAAATAATCCTAGTGTTACGTGACCCCGAGAGTGAACCTCACATCGTATTTTATCTCTTGATGAGGTTAAGAATTCTTGGAGCTCCCCCACGACACTTTGTTTAATTTAAGTTCAAAGTAAATTTCTAGCAGTTTTATTTTTCAGTAGATATAAAGACCGGTGATTCTCAAGCATGGCCGCCTACTTAATGTCTTCATAAGTAGTTTGATACTACAATGTAAGTCATAATTAACCACTGTTTCAAATTTCATAACAGCACTAAAAGTTACTTTTTAAGAATTACGTAAGTAAATGAAAAATATTTTTAAACGTGTAATGTTTGAAGGTTTTCATATAATCTGGAATATATTGGCCCACACCAAAACAGTTCTTAAACAGAAAGCTTAGAGCAGTGGTATTCAACCTTTTTTGTTCGCGTACCCCCAGATATAATTTCTCTTCAACTTTGTACCCCCAAACTTGTTGGTGTATAATTCAAGTTATACAAAGTATATAATCTACATCTAAAATAAATTAAATAAATTAAATTACTGATTATTCAGTGTTTATCATAAAATAATATTTTGTTTAAATTTCACGTACCCCTTAAGATGTCTTCGCGTACCCCCAGATATAATTTATCTTCAACTTTGTACCCCCAAAGTTGTTGGTGTATAATTCAAGTTATACATAGTATATAATCTACATCTAAAATAAATTAAATAAATTACATTACGGATTATTCATTATTTATCATAAAATATTTTTTTTTTAAATTTCACGTACCCCCTAAGATGTCTTCGCGTACCCCAGGTTGAATACCACTGGCTTAGAGGAATCGTTTTTGCTTCTCAGCTAACAACACGATAATTTTGTTGTTTAATTATTCTGTGTAAAATTAAATAATAAATTGGTACATGATGTAATACGTACCAGTATTAATATAATCTTCATGATCAGATTGAGAGTAAAGCAATTTTAAAAATGAAACTTAAAACACGAAATTCAGCACCAGTCACATAACTGCGAGAAGTTAAACTGTTAGTCAACAGCGGTTGTTAGTGTTCTGTCTTCTGAACCATGCCCGTGCCCGACTTTTATACCAGAATGCTGTAGAAGTCCGAGGAGCCAAGGACTGGTCATAAGAAGTGGGGAAAGTTGAAATACAATGGTCTGCAGACAAGAGTGGTAGTCAGTGATGAATCTGCATAAAAACGAAAGCAAAACCATGGGAAGTTATCGATAGATAAAACAGGCACGGAGCGTGTAGTCGAAGGCGTCCTCAGAGTGTGAAATCCTTGCACGTACGAGGCGCAAATATTGTTATAACGGGCAGTGTTAAGAAAATGATGTCACGAAAATGTTTCTTTACGTAAATCTCGGCGAAAAGAATGAAAAGGAATTGGTGACTAAACGGTTTTTTTTAGAGGTTAGAGGTCCAAATCTACGAATCACAAACTCATTAAGGTGGGTCAAACTTTCAAACATGCTCGACCCAAAAGGGGGAAATTGTGACTCGCGATTATCTGCAATCAGTAGTACCAACCTTAGGGTTTAAGCTCAATGGATTGAAAAAAGAAATCATGAACGAAAAAATATATATATATCTTCCTTTTTCCCTGACATCGAGACTGAATGTGTTTATGAAGGAATTTGAAAGGTAATATCCCATAAATATACCTCTGTCTCAGTAATAATTACCTAGGAAAGTGCAAAACTTGAGATTAAATAGTTATACGTGTATGATTGCACGAAAGTTGCTTAGAAATGTCAAAATATCTTCCCTCTAATTTCTAAAGAAAAAGTTTGATCTCTTTCAGATTTGAGAATTTAAAAATGAGAATTCACTGAAATACGCTGAATCCATTTTCCTTCAAATTTCTTGTAGTTGAGCGTATTTGGTTCTGTATTTGGTATTTATCTTCTTGAAAGTATTTTAACTAAACAGGATTCTCGACAAGGCTGAGTCATGCTGAAAAGTGGATTATAAAAGAAATGCTGATTAAACAAGTGGATAAATAATTACTTGCTCGGTTAGCAGGGTATTTTAATTGTTCTGTAAACCACAAAACCATTCATTCCGTAACCACCTCCCTATAATCTGAAATCGTTAAGAATTTCGAACAACGAAATGTTAAATACGTCTACGTGAGACGGATAAAAGGCCCTAAAACTATTGCTTGCATCAGTAATACACGGAAGCGCTGTTATTAATGTAAACGGCGTATTAAATGTAAGTGTATATAGCAAATGAAAAAGAAAAAATCGCAAACTAATGACGATGGACCCATAAAATTCCCTGGCGCCAGAGTAAAGGGGTATAAGTTCTAAAAGTTCAACCAACCAACCAGATGGCTTAGGGAACCCGAAGGGTCATCACCGAATTAACCAAAGCCCTTCACCGGACCCTGTCCTGGGCCAACGAAATCCAGTCTCCTTCAACTCCTAGCTCCCATAGATCCCGCCTGAGATTATCCTCCCATCTTCGTCTAGGTCTCCCCAGAGGTCTCTTCCCCTCAGGCTTCCCAAATAGTAGACCCAACCAACCAGATGACTTACGGAACTCGAAGGTTCATCACCGAATTAACCAAAGCCCTTCACCGGACCCTGTCCTGGGCCAACGAAATCCAGTCTCCTTCAACTCCTAGCTCCCATAGATCCCGCCTGAGATTATCCTCCCATCTTCGTCTAGGTCTCCCCAGAGGTCTCTTCCCCTCAGGCTTCCCAAATAGTAGACCCAACCAACCAGATGACTTACGGAACTCGAAGGTTCATCACCGAATTAACCAAAGCCCTTCACCGGACCCTGTCCTGGGCCAACGAAATCCAGTCTCCTTCAACTCCTAGCTCCCATAGATCCCGCCTGAGATTATCCTCCCATCTTCGTCTAGGTCTCCCCAGAGGTCTCTTCCCCTCAGGCTTCCCAAATAGTAGACCCAACCAACCAGATGACTTACGGAACTCGAAGGTTCATCACCGAATTAACCAAAGCCCTTCACCGGACCCTGTCCTGGGCCAACGAAATCCAGTCTCCTTCAACTCCTAGCTCCCATAGATCCCGCCTGAGATTATCCTCCCATCTTCGTCTAGGTCTCCCCAGAGGTCTCTTCCCCTCAGGCTTCCCAACCAATACCCGGTGCACACCTCTTGTCCCATCCATGCGTGCTACATGCCCCGCCAATCTCATTCTTCTCGACTTAATCACCCTGACAATATTGGGGGAGGAGTACAGATTTTTAAGCTCATCATTATGCAGTTTCCTCCATGCCCCATCGTCTTCTCTCTTAGGCCCAAATATCCTCCTCAAACACCTGCAATCTGTGTTCCTCCTTCAGAGTGAGAGACCATGTTTCGCACCCATACAGGTATAGGAAACGAAAAATTATTTTTGAAAGTCCTCATAAATTACGATTATTTACTTTTAAAACATTTATACAAATATAAATATAGAATTTAAAGATGAACGTAAGACTGAAGTGATAAGTTTTACTATAAAAATACAATCCCCACAGCAGTAATCTTACTTCGATCGTAATGTTTTCACCATGGCATCCTTAAATTAAACTGACTGTACCAAGCTCGTAAAGGATTTAATAATATTTCCATCAGTCGTTAAAGACACTTTCTCATCATTTTGTATTTAAATCTTGCTGTATTTAACGATACTGTTTCAACTGCATTGGTTATCCTATAGCGTCTATTATAGGATGATTTTCAAACAGTGAGTTGGAAAGAATATAATATAAAGCTGTCGTGAATTTTCGAATTCTCGTCCATTTAGGTTAACAGCCCGCGAGTCCATAAGTCTTCTCTGATGCGTCTTCGTGGTTAGGATTTGTCAGTTTCAGAGACGTGTTGAAGAAAGTGGAATTGAACGCCGTGATGCGGTATTTATATAAATTGAAGGAGATTATAACACCCCTCCAGCCACGAATAAACATAAAAGCAATGGACGTTTAACTGTGAAGTCTACTGTGGGACCCATCCCAACCCCGAGTTTTACGAAAACATGGTGTCTCATCTTCAGAGACCACAATCACTCCATTCTAGTCATTACTGGGCATGCGCGTGATTAATGTCTGGAGTCGCGAGTGTCGGTCCACTCCCGACACCGAACACTAGTGTCTGTTCGCACGTGATGACGTCACACGAGGGTTACGTTGTCCTATATCCGGGCCGACGTAGCGATAGACTGGCGGTTTCTTCTTTGTACTAGGAAAAACAAGTAACTTACAAAGCGTTATGTATAATATAAATAATCTCTTTAACAAGCACACTTTTAACCCGAAGATGGAGACAGAGTGTTCTTCCGAAACGCTGGTAACCGCCTATAAGAGTGCACGGCGTCGCTACTCAGAATACCGTAAGCGCCTTCTAAATTAATCTGTGAAGTTCTTTTCAATCTTGTCAATGAGCGTATTGTTTAATGACTCGCGAATAACCCAGGAACTAGGGTCGTGGCGGATTGTAGCGTTTCTGGTTTTTATTCGGAAGATCTCGACTCTGAGACCGGTTGTCCTTTCTAAGGTTCTTCGTGCTTGTCCTCAGTCTCAAAGGTAAGTTAAATTAATCCCACGATCGATTTTTCCCACGTCCTTGGTCACCCTATAATCCGAACTGCTAACAGAGACACTTAGTATAAGATAAAAATAAACAAATAAAAAAAAACTCCGTGCATCAGAGATCGTCAACACATCGTTGAAGTTTGTACCGTGCAATGAAACAAGTTTGACGAGTCTCGTTTGTCAAAGATGACCGATGCGTGTTACTGTGTTATGAATTTGATGTGGCACACTCGAGTGGCCGCGAGCTATTTTAAGATATTGCAGTAGGACAGTGGGTGAGGCGAACAAACGAGTGTTTGTACCGAAACGGGGAAACTGCACCTCCTACTCAGTTTTTTTTTTACGCACTTTCACTTTTATATACGGAAACACAGAGCGCAAGGTAAACTCTTGATATTCTTTTGAGTGACGAAGCTGTTTAAATTAAGTACTAAATTAAGCAGTGATTAAAAACTTCAATGAAGTGTACAGGATTATCGAAAAGTCACGTAACTCATATTAAAATGTTTATTGATGGTTGCAATTCAATGCAGTAGGTTTGCATTAACCCTTTGAAGCCGAAGATCGTCTGAATATTATTTATGAATTCAGTCCGTACCGCGAAGAAAACACTACACCTCACCATTACGAAAATCAGCTGGTTAACCCTTTTGAAGCCGAAGCTCGTCTTCATAATATTTACGAATCCAGACCGTACCGCAAAGAAAACACTTCACTTAACCATTAGAAGTCGAATCAGGCGGTACCACATAAGATTTAACAAAAGAACATCTCGGTCAAAGCCTTAATAAACACGTATTATATATCTGACTATATAATACCCCAAGCAGGTCTCGCCATTTCGTGACCCGCTATCTCGTCCGTCAGTTGTCTTTCAACAATCGAACTGCAACGAGTGTCGATTATCGAACGCTACCTGACATCTCGTTCTGACTTGACTTTTCCAGGTTAAGTTAAGGAAACGTTTCCTGAATCTACTACGCCAAAGAAATTAACAATATCTCGTTTGGTGATCCGTTTATTATCGCTGCAGAAACTTTTTCGCCGTTTTTAATGGAACGCTAGGAAAAGAGTAAATATATGCATTGTCAAACGCTGGATTATTGAGGTTCGATTCACGACAGAGACAGAAGTGTCTCATCGCCTTCGTATACAAACAGGCTCGAGTGCCTAGGTACAGAGCTACCGGAACGTGGAACTAACCTCCCATTCGGAAGTGGAACAAAACTCATACAAAAACCTTTTGGTGGGTCACGTAACCCTCTACAGGAACTTTAGAATGTCTGTGATCTGTCTACAACGTGATTCTTAACATAATGTAACATAATGTAGATTTACAAAGTGGAAATAACAAGGTAGGTACTTACTTTAAGGCTTCGACCGGGATGTTCTTTTGTTAAATCTTATGTGGTACCGCCTGATTCGACTTCTAATGGTTAAGTGAAGTGTTTTCTTCGCGGTACGGTCTGGATTCGTAAATATTATGAAGACGAGCTTCGGCTTCAAAAGGGTTAACCAGCTGATTTTCGTAATGGTGAGGTGTAGTGTTTTCTTCGCGGTACGGTCTGGATTCGTAAATAATATTCAGACGATCTTCGGCTTCAAAGGGTTAATTACAGTTTGCCTTTGCAAAGTAGGTAGACTACAGATTGTCGGTAGGAACATCAAATAGTCTACTTGCATTTCACATCTATTCTTACTGCGTTACTTTAGAAGGACTTTGGAATCACGTGACTTTCCTTTCGTACCGTGGAACGTAATTGTACGTACTACGTAATTTCATGGAGAACTTTCCCAACCGCAAGTAAACTATTCATAATTATGATGTGCATTCAAGGTGATATACAATACCTTATATTTGTCAAGGGTGCCTCAAGCTTGAAAAACAAGACAGATGATTTCTAAAAATCCAGTCCTGTATGTTGCTGGAGATATACATCATATATAAATCAGCAGTTGGCCCCGTAAGCTTTCTCCTTCAACTTGCAGCTTTGTTCGGTTTATATTCTTTATTTCTTGAGGCGTATGGAAATTAATATGGTTCAGAATGCAGAATCAGGAAGGAGCCAGGCTTTGTCCTACTTAAAAACGTGCCTATTGTATCAACGGTATATTACAGAAGCTCTTTGACAATGCTTTATATCTCGTACTTTGCATCTCGCTCACTCGCTTTAAACAGTGTCACGTATGCGTTTGTGTATTTCTTCTACTCGCAATCTACTGGCATGGACGAATCACACAGTTCTTGTCTCGGCTACTGTCGCGCATTTATACGGACTGAATGCTGACAATATGGCGCAACGTCACGTGATAGCGTTGTACAGCAGTGCCCAGATTCCGAGAAATGGACTCTCAGCAACAAATAAAAAAATACACTGTCACTTGCAAGTTAGAATTTGTATTGTTGTAAGTTTTCACATTCATTGCATTAATTACCCAATCTGAAACAAACGGATGTGTTCTGGATACCTTGTTTTACGTACTGAAACAAATACTGAAGTTGTTTGTCCGTACAGCTAAATAACAGGACTTCCTGCATCGGAATTTGCCTCAGAAGCTGACACATTGCACACATTTAGTAACAATCTGCAAATGTCTTGTATTAATTATACAATTTTTATATTGTAAATTTCCACTTGAGTATGCTGATGCATCGTTATGAATAAACTATAAGGAGCCGAGTTCTTTTTTGAGCAACTGATGGTCGATCGAGATTTCCTTCATCCCCACCGCCTTCCGAGAATCGATCCTGATCGTCCAAGGCCGTGGGGGGCGAGGGTTTCTGACTGAGCTATTGCGGCTCGCATCATAGTTATAAGAGTTGTGTATAGATGTCGCAGGGTATAAGCAAGTGTTGACTTACAGATTCTGCATGAAAAGTGAAATGCGCATCGGGATCCGTGGGAGTGGTGATGTTTGGTGTAGGTAGATAAGTGTGGGTTGTAGTATGCTTCGATTTTATTGGAATGACAGTAGTACTGCATAAATGTGTTTAGAAAGTACTTGATCTTTACTCTGTCCGAAATGTCTCGAAAGCGAACTGCAAAATCGATTTTTGTGGACATCAGGAAAGGATGTAATTCAGGCCAGGTTCAAGCACGAGAAGTAAGTATATACAGTAAACCCCTTCAAGTTGGACACTCCTTTGTACATTAGTCACACTTAATTGGAACCGACGTTTAACAGTTTCGTATTTTGTGATTTTGAATTTCTGACAGACGAATGACTCGTACCTGAAGGATTAGCTTAAGGTTGACGGTGGGAGACATTGAAACAATTTGAATATTGTACTCTTCTTGGTAGTAACATTTCTGGAGGAACTTCTTCAAGGTAGAATTATTATCTGTTGTAAAAATGTCCAATACTTGCCGGATCCCCTATGTCTCCAACAGTAGTGTACAGTTTTCTTTAAATCGCAGGGTATTGCTGTACGTTCCAAGTTCCAGCCTTGACCTTGTAGGGGCGGAGCAAATTGAAGGTCACCATTGACGGGGGTTGAGTGTACGTGTGAAGGAAGTGTCTTCATTCTAAGTCCAAAATTAAATTCTACAGGAGAGAGAAAAGGAAATTGATATTTTGAACTTTTAAATGAAAAGCTAATCCTACAGTTTCTGTAAACATTGTCTATGCCATCACCATGTGACTATGTCACACTTGTTCAACAGAATATGAGAATATTAAACGATCATAAAACATAAGCCACACTTGCTGGCTTGTTCACCGAACTGCGTAAAGTGCTATTTTGGTTGGAAACTCTGATGTGAAGAGAGCACTTGTGAGATATGTGCCCAGAAAGATGGGACTGGATTTACCTGGCTCAGGACAGTGACTGGTGGTGGCTCGTTCCAAAATATTGGAGCGATTATCAGCTTCTCAAGGATTGCTCCTTGGAGAAATTTTATTTATTTAATTATCTCTGAGTATTTTGTAACATTGAGAAATGTCACCCAATATTAATTAGTCAATTTATACTTTGGAATTATTGGGAATTCTTCCAAGACAGAGTAAATCATATTTATCTGTAGTACTTGTAGCGTACAGTGCTGGTTTAGAAACCAAAAAAAAAAAAAAGTTTTTCTGTGAATATAATTTGGCATAGAATTAATTCTACTGGTATATTTTGTTTTGTTTGTAGGTGGAATTGCCCGAACTGGGTAGAAATGGCTTGTTGATACAAGTAAAGGCTTGTGGTTTATCAATATCCAAGATTGAGTCTACAGCGCTTTGTCAGATATTGTCAAACCCCAACAAGAACTTGGGTGTTGGTGCAGGACATGAGGTGGCAGGAACTGTGGTTGCTACTGGCGACGACGTCACAACTTTGTCTAAGGGAGACCACGTCGTGGGTGAGTGCTAAATTGGCGACGTGCCGCTCGACATCCTTGTCGTATAATAATCGTTTTCCTACGAACGGTGAAATCGCATTCCTGACTAATTTATGTTCTGCCCCGATGTAGGAATAATACCTCTTGATTACGGACAGTCTGGATGTGCTGACTACGTTGCGCTCCAAGAATTTGACGTCGGTGAGTTCCGCTTAATTGTAATTATTGCCGTATTAATCTCTAATATTTTATGCTTTGGGGGCTTACTATTTGTGTTCGCAGTGATAAAACCGCACGGTGTGAGTTTTGTGGATGCAGCGGGGTGCATAGGAGATTCTGTGAAAGCTTACACAGCTTTGCATTATCTGGGAAAGCTCTCTTCTGGTGACACAGGTGAGTATACAATTTTTAAATAAATAGTCTCAACCCATAAAATATAAAAGTGTAATTCACCGTGTGATTTTAAACTAGACGAGCGAGGAGTATATGGCAGAAACAAGTTGGCAGTAGTAACATTCCAGTTTTCTTAATGTTACATACCATTAACTGATTATCGTGAATATTCATAAAGACAAGTTGACGCGGACTGATTCAGCGTTTCCATAAAAGTGATTGAGGTATGGCAGTGTATCATAAAAGTTAATAAGTATTATTATTTATTATTAAGTGTTCTGTCTTACGACAGGTCCATTGCACTGCCCAAAAAGAGCTCTCCAGTTGTCCCTATTCTCAGCTTCTCGCTTTAATTCCTGGAACGTCATCTTCTTTCCTTGTTTAAGGTCGTCGGTTAGCTGTATCAGTCTTCTTCCCAGTCCTCGCTTTCCTTCAACCTGGCCTTCGACGATATCACTCAGTAACCCATTCCTTCTCATAATATGTCCCAGCTAGTTAGCTTTCCTTCGTGTAATCGCCTGTTAATAAGTATGTGGCATTTTAATGAATATTATCTGTAAGAATTTTTTGCCAAATTCCTGAACAGAGAATCAGATTGGAGTAACACGTTCATGTAAATTCCAGACTTGTTCGGAATTGCTCGACGCCTTTTATGCGACACGTAAATGTAGTTCGTTGAAGTCAGTCTTGAAATAAAATTAATTCTGATGAAAGACTCTCGGGCGACAAGCCACGTCAGGTGTCTGAATGGCGAATGAACCGTTTCTCCTGCGGAGGAAATGGTTCATTCCCGAGAGTCTTTCGTCAGCTTCAGTCGCCGCGACTGGAACTTGGGCAGTTTCGCTGTGAAGAGCAACGGCGAATGGAACTCCGTCAGCTGATACTGATATGAATCTGATATCTTCTGGAGTTTCTGATATTGAATGGAAAGATTGTACGCAAGATATTCTTATCGCAGTCTCTGGCATTTTCTGAACAATTCATTTTCCCGGAATATTCTTTATGGGTTATCGCTGATTTTAAATCTGCACCAAAAATTGGGTGCGCGCTGAGACGTATGTTTATTTCCAGTGCTCGTGCTAGATGGCGCATCTTCTTTTGGTAGCATCTGCATTCAGTTGGCTCATCACTGGGGAGCCAAAGTATTAACGACTTCCTCGTCAGAGGATGAAAAACTTTACCTTCAGAATATGGAAGTAGAATTAGCACAGATTATTGAACTGAATGAGAAGAATTCATCTCTTAAATCAGCGGCAATGTTAGAGACGGGGAATCTTGGAGTTGATATTGTTGTGGATCAGGGTATTGCTCAATATCCACAGGTAGGTGACTCGATT